GCTGAGAGAAAGAACTGGCATCTTGCAGAAGTTTGTCGAAGTATGCTACATGCAAAGAACGTACCGGGAAGGTTTTGGGCTGAAGCAATGAGGACTGCAGCCTTTGTGATCAACAGACTTCCTCAACCGAGGTTAGGATTTGTTTCGCCCTTTGAGAAACCGTGGAACATGAAACCTACAGTTAGCTACTTTTGAGTATTTGGTTGTGTATGTTATGTATTTGTTCCTAATCATTTACGGAGCAAGTTTGACAAGAAAGCTGTTAGATGTATCTTTGTGGGATACAACAACCAAAGAAAATGGTGGAAATGTTGCGATCTAACAAGTGGAAGATGTTACACTTCACGAGATGTGGTGTTTGATGAAGCGTCTTCTTGGTGGTCCTCAGAGAATGAGGTGTTACCAGATTCCAGAGAATTTGGAGAAAAGCTGCAACAGAAGATGGGGGAGCATACTATCCAACTCCAACCAAGTTCAGATGAATCAGGAGATCCAAATGGCGATGATGTCGAACAAAGAGTGGCTCAGAATCCTTGGCAAACTGGCGTGTATCAACAACCAAACGAAGAAGGTGGGCTAAGTGAAACGGAAGAATCAACTCCACAATCTCAACTCCGAAGGTCAACAAGAACACGAAGGCCAAATCCTAAATACGCCAATGCAGCCATAATTGAAGAAGCAACAGAGCCTGAGACGTTCGAATAAGCATTGCAGAGTTCTGAGTGGATGACAGCTATGAAAGAAGAGATCGATGCACTTCAGCAAAATCAGACTTGGGATCTCGTGCCAAAGCCAAGAGATGTGAAACCCATATCCTGCAAGTGGGTTTACAAAATAAAGCGCCGTCCAGATGGGTCAATCGAGAGGTACAAGGCACGATTAGTAGCTCGTGGTTTCTCTCAACAGTACGGACTAGACTATGATGAAATGTTTAGTCCAGTGGCGAAACTTACAACCGTACGAGTCTTACTTGCACTTGCAGCCAACAAAGACTGGAACCTGTGGCAGATGGATGTGAAGAATGCGTTTCTTCATGGAGAGCTGGATCGGGAGATATACATGATCCAACCAATGGGATTTCAAAGCCAAGATCATCCTGAATATGTGTGTAAACTGCGGAAAGCACTCTACGGATTGAAACAAGCACCCAGGGCGTGGTATGGTAAGATTGCTGAATTTCTAACACAAAGTGGTTATTCAATAACACCTGCAGATTCCAGCTTGTTTGTCAAAGTCAATGAAGGAAAGCTAGCTATTGTGCTAGTGTATGTGGATGACTTAATCATAACCGGTGATGATGAGGCAGAAATTCTTCGGACGAAGGAGAATTTATCAGTCCGTTTCCAGATGAAGGAACTTTGTCAACTCAAGCATTTCCTTGGTCTAGAGGTTGATCGCACACAAGAAGGAATATTTCTCTGTCAACAGAAGTATGCCAAAGATTTGTTGAAGAGGTTCGGAATGCTTGAATGCAAGCTGATTTCGACGCCGATGGAGCCAAATGTCAAAATGAGTGCACATGAAGGAAAAGATTTGGAAGATGCGACGATGTATCGACAATTGGTAGGTAGTCTGATCTACTTAACCTTGACTCGACCTGACATTTCTTATGCAGTTGGTGTGATGAGTCGATACATGCAAAATCCAAAGAAGCCTCACTTGGAAGCAGTTCGACGAATACTGAGATATGTGAATAGTACAATTGACTATGGTCTTTTGTACAAGAAAGGTGAAGACTACAAGTTAGTTGGTTACTGTGATGCTGACTATGCAGGAGATCATGACACTAGGAGATCAACAACTGGGTATGTGTTTAAACTTGGTTCCGGAACAATTTCTTGGTGTAGCAAGAGACAGTCGACGGTATCTTTGTCAACCACAGAAGCAGAGTATAGAGCAGCAGCAATGGCAGCTCAAGAGAATGCATGGCTGGTACAGTTGATGAGTGATCTACATCAACCAGTAGATTATCCAGTACCATTGTACTGTGATAACCAATCGGCAATTCGCTTGGCGGAAATCTAGTCTTTCTTGCAAGAACTAAGCATGTGGAGGTACACTACCATTTCATTAGAGAGAAGGTCTTGCAAGAAGAGATTGAGATGAGACAAATCAATACAGATGAACAAGTTGCGGACTTGTTCACTAAAGGTTTGAGTACCGGCAAGTTTGAAAAGTTTCGTCGTCAACTCGGCATGAAGGAAAGAATAAGCTGGTGTTGAGGGGGAGTGTTGAAAATACAACACTAGCCCAATAATAAAGGGCCAGCCCATTTGGAATCATGAATGAAGGCATGATTTTGCTAGAAAAATCTAGCAAGCATGTCGGTAGGAACAAGCTAGAATTGTCTAGCTATTATAATCAATGTGTGGTCATAAGTTAAAACCATATGTCGGTGTGTGTGTGTGTGCATAATTAGTTGCTAGAATAATCTAGCAAATGTCCAAGTCGGCAACCATTGCCTATAAATATGTATGCTAGTGTGGTGTTGTAATCAAGCAATAAAACAAGCAAGCAAGCAAGCAACCAAGTGAGAGTGAGAAGCAAGAATAGTCTTGTAGGAGTGTGAGTGATCTAGAGTTTGTCTCTAGAAAGTGAGTGAGTGTCATTGCTTCTAAAGTTGTGTCTTTGAGTGTTTTGAGTGTTGTAATATTTTGTGAGTGTAATACAAGTAATTTGTTTGCTTGTTTTGTCTCTCCAACACTTGTGTTAGAGTTGTGTACTCTAAGTTCCCAACAGTGTAGTTATCATAATTGATTGCCTGGACATGGTATTTTCCTGAATACAAGTACAATACTGTTCGATTATTCTCACAAGACAGGTTATACCATTGGTCACCACAGTTGTCCGGGTCATGTTTCAGTCGGAAGGGGTAGCTTATGTTGGTGATGATTCCACAGGAAGAAGGTGCACAGTGATGACGATCATCCTTAGCACTGCAAACTACACAGAAAAAGCCAACAACTAGAAATACTGTGAATAAACTCGATGTAAAGGGTAGCACTCTTATGGCAGCCATGGTGAGAGAGAGGAAACCGGAGGTTTCAAATGCTAATAGCTTCCTCAGTTTGTGGTTAGGAGTAGATGATTGTGAACTTCATTAACTACTTATAAGCACATGCAAGACCCTCCTTTCCTCGATGTGAGATTCATTTCTGATGTGGAATTAAGGGCCATTGACCCTCTCTTTAGTTCATGAGCACAAGCCAGGCTACAAGAGGACGTGCCGAAGATATATAAAATATAAAGTAGAAACTTCATCGAAATTACAATAATCCAAATTTACTAAGTCAAAAACACATACTATATTCAATATCGGTCTAGACGTGAAGTAGTGAGTAAAATAGACAAAAGGATTGTTCCTTACTTTTGCGAAAGGGTACAACGAATTAGTGATCAAATACACAAAATGATGCATTTTGGTGTGGAAAGTCAGCAAAGGGAAGAACTCTTCTGGGGAAATGTATTTTGATGTGGACAGCCAGCAGTTCAGTCTTAATCTGCTGAAAAGTCTGCAAATGGAAGAAGAACTCTTCTGGGTAAATGTAGGAAAACTCTTCCAGGGAAGCCAAGACCATACATTTTATTTTAGGTAGATTTTGGGAGAGTATGAGAAATTCTGGTGTAAACTCAAACATGACAATCTCTTTCTTCATCCTGTTGTTCACGGTAGGTCTCATTATTAACCTTGGAGCATGCCAAAATGAGTGCACAGAATCACACTGCGGAGACTATGGCCCGCCTATCCGATTTCCATTTCGACTCAAAGACAAACAACCAAGCCACTGTGGCTATCCTGGATTTGATTTATCCTGCGATCGAAGCAACAACACGGTGCTTGAGCTGCCAGTTTCCATTACGCTCTTTGTCACTAGTATTAACTACAAATCTCAGGTGATTCAAGTATTTGATCCAGATCATTGTGTTCCTAGACACCTTCCGAAACTTAATTTATCTTCCTCTGCTTTCATATTCCAAGAGCCGTACCAGTGTGACTATACCTTATTTAATTGTTCACCAGCAAAAAGAGATCTATATTATGATTCAATCCCTTGCCTTAGTGGGACTAGCCATCACATATTTTCTATACCTTCAGATAGTTTCGTTGACAGTCTTCCCCTTACATCTTGTACCAAGTTGTACAACCTTCCATTCAGTGTTCCATATGATATATTCGAACCAAATTATTTTCTTCGTTTGGAATGGTCCAAACCAACATGTAACCGATGTGAAAGGAGAGGTAAAGGATGTAGACTGAAGAACAACAATCGCACCAACTCCGAAACTGAATGCTTCAATGTAAAGCGAAACGGTATGGTCTTTCATCCGCATCATGTTTTTACTGCTTCTTCACATTTTTGATGCATTAATCATGCAGTAGTTAGTCAGACACCTCCCTTTTGCTCCCGCTGCTGAATCTCTGCAGTTATAAAATGTTCCTTTTGCAATTAAGAACTTGAGAATGTTCTGTAAACAAATATGTAATGATTTAATAATTTGGTACACATGAAGAACTAATGGGATTGAAATCTTTCTACAGGTACTGTGAAAAAACTAGTTGTTACAGGTTCGTTCTACATGCATTCACCATAAAGATTTTTATTCTTCCTTCTTAAATTTCGAAGTTAAGTGTAGAGGTTCTTAATTGAACTTAAAATATGCAGGTGCAGTCCTTGGTTCATTTTCACTTGTGCTGATACTTGTCGGACTCCATCGTGTATATACTTTTGACCGAAAAGAAAAGGAGCGGCAAACCATGATCGAAGAATTTTTGGAAAACTACAGAGCTCTCAGGCCTACAAGGTACTCATATGCAGATATCAAGCGGATTACAAATAAATTTAGAGACAAGTTGGGACAGGGAACATTTGGAACAGTGTTCAAAGGAAAGCTTTCGAGTGAGATCTTTGTTGCTGTAAAGATGCTCAACAATTCCAAAGGAAATGGAGGAGAGTTTATCAATGAAGTGGGAACATTAGGTCGGATCCACCATGTTAACGTGGTTCGCTTGGTTGGATATTGCGCTGATGGATTTAGGCGAGCCTTAGTTTATGAATTTGCACCAAACGGTTCGCTGCAAAATTTCATATCGTCAGCAGACAGCAAGAACCATTTCCTTGGTTGGGAGAAGCTGCAACATATTACTATCAGAATAGCCAAGGGAATTGAGTATCTTCACCACGGATGTGACCAACGAATCCTTCATTTCGATGTCAAACCTCACAATGTTCTATTAGATGACCACTTCAACCCAAAAATCTCGGATTTTGGTCTTGCCAAGTTGTGCTCCAAGGACCAAAGCGCAGTTTCCATGACAACTGCTAGGGGTACCATGGGATACATTGCACCGGAAGTGTTCTCAAGGAACTTTGGTACCGTGTCTTACAAGTCGGATGTTTACAGTTTCGGAATGTTGTTACTTGAAATGGTAGGGGGCAAGAAAAATGTTCAAGTCACAGAGAAGAATACCGGGCAAGTTTATTTCCCCGAATGGATCTATAATCTTCTGGAACAAGGGGACGACATACGCATCCATGTTGAGGGAGAGAATGATGCTAAAATTGCCACAAAACTTGCAATTGTGGGGCTATGGTGCATCCAGTGGTATCCAGTAGACCGTCCTTCAATGAAAGCTGTCGTTCAAATGTTGGAAGGAGAAGATAACGTAAAATTGCCTCCTAATCCTTTCTCCCCCGCTGGTTCAGTAAGGAACGGTATCACTATGCTTGCAAGACGCCATCGCCAAGAGTTACCAGTCATCTCCGAATTAGAATGACTGGAAATGATTGATCATAATTGCCGCTGTGCTGCAACTTGTAATCACATTAAATAAATTAGAGTGTTGAGAATAAATTGGTGAGAACATAGACTCAAATTGGAGGTCAAAAATATCGAAAATCAGTGTGTTTGTGTAATACATCTATCCTATCTCTTAGTTATTGCTGCTTTCAGTTTTCTCTTGCTTATATATGTTGCATTCATAGCCCGATTGCTTATATTGCTTACGAACTCATCCTAGTTGACATTCATTTTCGTCTCTGTGAAACGAAAACAACTGTTTTTGTAAAACGCTATGAAACAAGCCCTAATACATGCACGGATTACAATTTATGTGAGTAGAACTAGAAATTCATACTCGCCACACGATTACGAAGAAGGCTTACAATTATTGATGATGATCCTGCTGTAAAGGGTAGTACTCATCATGCAACCACTATAAGGAACGGAGTATTCGACATCCATAGAAATAGCTTTCCTTAGTCCCACACGTTTACGTTGACTTATGGTGAGGAGCAGATGATTGTGAATTTCAAGTATTTTAGTGCCAAAATGAACAGCCAACTCATACCAGATTCTCTCCTGGATTCACAGCTCGAGGTCTGATTCCATCGTTGTCGTGCCAAGGTTGAAGAGCGAACATTGAAATGGCGAAGTTTGGAATGTGATTGGGAGACAGTGACGAGGGTGTTATTGGAATGTAGAAAGTTTCATGGCTTTTTAGTCAAAATGTTTCCTGAGAATTGCATAACAGATCACTTTGGTCCCTGAGATTTCAAATAAATAGAGTGGTCCTTGAGATTGTCCATCATCCATCATTTTGGTCTTTCTGTTAAAAACTTCGTTAAGTGTCCTGGAGTTTTTGGCCGGAAGTTTGGGCAATTTTCAAAGCTTCGTAACTCAATCGTTTCTGAACCAAATTCGACCCATAATATATCAAAATGAAGATAGTAAAGTGTAGAATTAGATTATACATATTTGGAAGGCCAATGGTTGCCAGAGATGGTCGGAAAATAGCCTCAAAGTTGACTGGTCAGAGGGAAAACTAGAAAACTAGCCAAAAACTGGGTTAAATTTAAACGTTCATAACTTCTTCAATACTCAACAAAATCAAATGATTCAAAAACGAAAATCATACTTCTCAACGAGACAAAAATAATGGTACCTTTTTCAATGGCTAACTCGCCGTAGTTTGGCCAGAAAAAAGGCTCGAAAGTGGCTGTCTTGGTCTCGAAAGTAATGTGTTATGCAAATCTCATGGACCATTTTGGCTAAAAAGCCAAGTTTCATTAAACATTTGCTCCGCATGTTTTGAAAAAGTATAATGTTAAGCATACCAAAATTTTTTTAACTAAATTTGCAAGCCAAATATTTTGGTTGTTGATGATTGAATTATAACTTAATCGTTGATTAACGTACTTATTTACTATTAGTGACACATCATTTGATTTGTAAATTTAATTTAAAATTTTGATCTTCCTAACATTTTCCTTTGAAAAAAAAAAACTGAAGCTGCTGCTTTGACTTTTCTACTTTATTCACCAAAACTTCCTAAAAATAATCAATTTTGTTAAGTTTACTAAACACCGTAAACATAAAAAATTATAAAATAAACTGATTTTTCCACAACTCCAAACCAGTACTTAGTCGTAGTTGTCCAAGTCAATGCCGGAGCTTGCTAATGCCAGAAGAGTCAATTGACCCTCGTCACTCCTCTTAAATATAGATTAAGAGAGGAAGAAAATTTTCATTATGACCAAAACACGGGAGGTATACTACGTGTTTTTATATAAATGATGAGAAATTTTATTTTTTTTAAGTTATTAACTTTTTAAGACACATATCTTACTATTTGTATAATGACACGTGATGTACTATCTCATATATCAGTCACATTGAAAAATCTCTCAATCTGAGGGTCTACTAACCAATTACATTTAATTTGCTGAGCTAATTGGTGTATGACTTTTCCCCTTCTAATTTTGGTCCATCTAGAATTTATTTAATTTCATATTTGTGTGATTTTGTCAAATTTATTTAATTTCATATTTGTTTGATTTTGTCAAATACTTTGAATCAACATCTACATCACAATTAAAATTATAAATATTTCAAGATGAAATTGTTTTTTTTTTTTTTAGTAAGGGGGGACAACTGGAGCAACATATGGTTCTCCACCCCTTTTGGGTCCGGAGAGGTTATGGATTATTTCATCCTGCCCGTGGCCGCAAACAAACACAAGATGATATTGTTTGGGCGAGCGGATTCCATCACAAGACAACTGGTGGCAAGCCACGATTATTCACCCATTTCGGGCCTGGAGAGGCTATAGAGAATTTCACCCTAATTGTGGCCACAATCAAGCACAAGATGATATTGTTTGGGCGAGCGGATTCCACCACAGGACTACGAGTGTAAGACTAAACACTCTTTTAACACTTGAGCTACAAGCCCGTTGATAACTCGTAAGATAAACCTAAGTTTTTCATTTAGGATAAACAAGTTAAAATTTATGATTATACCTAAGTTAAGATCTTTTTAATCTTGTCGTAATTTAAAGATCATTCTACGTAGCCTTTGTTGGCATATACTGTTCATGTGGAACTGTCAATGCTGCTAAGGATGATCAGCAACATTACGATAACATAACATAAATTCGATGCGGAACGCTGACTTCAGTAACCAGAATTCATTTACCAGTGTTTCTCAAGTTCATAAACTCGATATCAGATGGGGTGTCAGCTCCGCTTTCAAGAACATGGATCCGAATGAACTGCCAAAGCATATAATTTTCATGACCTGTGGGCATTCGCATTGCACGCTCTCATCCCGATTCGAGGAATAGGTGCCGTCTTGAGCTTATAGTTATGACATCATGACCTGGTACAAGGAACATGAACATTTCCTACATAGACATCGACAATGAAACTGGTATACGGATGTGAACTCTCATGGTTGCAGAGCTTTGATATAGGTCGAAAACGGATTGATTACTACATGACAAATATACCAACGAAATTAATTCAGCGAAGGTGACGAAAGAATTTGAATGCAGCTGCAGTTGCAGGCTTGCAGCCCACTGGGGTTTATGACCAATTCAGCGAAGGAGACGACATATAAACTGAAGATGCCACAGAAGAGGAAAAGGAAATAACAAAGAAGATGCATACGGAAGAGGAGAGTAGAGAGAATTTGAAACGAAGATCATAAGCAATAGTGTTATAAACACCTTATACCATAGATATAAAATTACAAATTGGAAAAACGAGCACACACCACCACTGTAGTGACTAGTTTTGGTATTGATTAGGACACAACATATCTATTATGTTCAATAAACATTACAAAAGTTTACTGACTTAATTGCAAGCTCATGTGCATGAAACAGGTTTAAATGCAAATTTAAAAACCTAAATACGGATTTTAAACATAACAAGAGTCTACTGACTTACTTGCAAGCTCAAGTTCATGAAACGTGCCAACCCCTACTTTTTAATGGTTTTTTTACTTTACAGACCTTTCTTATCATTCTTTCTTCTTTTTTTCAACAAGAAGATTCAGTCCTTGCCGACCCCACTTAGTGGGAAAAGATTTTGTTGTTGTTGTTGTTGTTGTAAGAAGATTCAGTCCTTGACCTTCCCAACTATGAGACGAAGAAGAATACAGAAATGCCCACCACTACGAGGAAACTAAAAATAACTTAACAAATTCGGAATGTTATTACTGGGAACCACTCAAGAATCAAGAAAAAGGAGGACAAAATGAGTATATATTCAATGGATATACACGGTTAAGATGAGAAAGCAAGGTAGCAGGGCACCCTGTGCCGGAGAGAGGATCCAAGTTTTCAAATTGAGGGATCGATTCTATTTTTGGGTCTACATTGCTTATAATTGAATTTTAGAAATCTTAAACGATCAAATTTATGTGTAAACAAAGGAAATTAAGATTCTTATTGTCAACTGCCTCCATCGAGCCTTGAATCCCTCCGTCAATACATTATTAAAGCTCTCAAGTAGAGTAATCACCCCAGTAAAATTCTAAAGTAGCAGTTACAATAAAGTTGAATAGAGAAATTGGCATTAACATCATAAATCCTAATCTACAACCTTATATGCTTTCTATCAATATCAATTCTCCGAAAACAAGTAAACCTGCAGTTATTGAGATTAAAAGACAACAAAAACAAATGAAAGGGCAGAAACCTTGAAGACAAACTAGGAGTCCAAAACAAGCTTGAACTCCTGCACTTGCTTGAAGTTCTCCCATGGCTTTACCCACACCTTAGCTTCATAAACATTCTTCGTTCCGCCATCGGTGGCCTCAATTTTCAGATGGTGCAGAGAGCCTGAAACCACTTGTACCTTTTCATGCACTACCCTCACAAACTCCAGCAAAGCATTCTGCACAATATTCAACAAATCAATCAATAAATAATTAGGACTCTATCATGGAAGAACTTCTGCTTATAAGCGCTTTTATTAATATTGCTTTCATTATGAAGCCACCGAATTTTTTTATAAAAAATCCGAGCGTCTACTAGAAAAGCACTTCATGAAGAAGCATCCGGCAGGTGCTTCTAGAATGTGCTTCTATGACTCAGTGGCTATTTAATTAATCAATAAATTTCTTTATTCAACTTCATTAACAATCCAAGAAAAAGCACTTGATGAAGAAGCATATGGAAGGTGCTTCTCTAGAAAGTGCTTCTACGACGCCACAAACAATCCATGGACAATTTTGATGCGAAGAAAAAGGGTATGGAAGTGGAATGTACCTCCTTCTTGTTGTGTTCATCAACAGCGAAGCGAGTGAGGCTTTCGGTCTCGATGCTGTTGGCGAAACCTTCGTTATTGCGGACTGTACCAACTGCGGCCATATTTGATTATGCGGCGAGCTCTATGTGTACTTTGACTTTTATATTTTTTTCCTGTAGAAGAAGAAGAGGACTTTTGTGTGTTGCGCCATGCTACATCTTCTTTATCAGACTCCTCATCTTCTAGTCTCATCTGCACCCATTTTTCTTCCAATTCGGAATTGGATGAGGACCCCCAGTTGGAATTTGAAGAGGATTCAAAGTTGGAATTCATTGTAAACTTGAATTGAAAGAGATTGAATTCAAATGTATGTGAATTATAGCTCAATATCCACCCTATTTATGGCATATATATATTCAAATCCATTGGATTTGAATTTGGCCAAATTTTTTTTAAAAAATAAAATATTAAAAAATTCTCATTTTTTCCTTATAAATTTAAGTTGTTGTAATTTTTAAATTTAATTTGTAGTTTTTAAATTTAAGTTGTAGTTTTTAAATTTAAGTTGTAGTTTTTAAATTTAAGTTATTGTAGTTTTTAAATTTAAATAATAAATTATGTTTGATCCTCAATTGGAGATGATTTTTTGTGACAATGCTAAAACGAGCGCTATGGCCCTTTGGTCATTGGTTGGAGATGGTAAGAAATATGACCCTGCGCTGTTCATTAAAATATTAATTTATTGGACAACCAGAAGGTTAAAACGAGTCATCTGACCCACCTTCGATTGGAGATGGTCTTAATACACTCTCTCTGAACGGATCCTTTGATATCTTGACACATGTTGGAGTTTCATTTTGTTTGCTTAGTCTGTAAACTTTGTTTTCTTCTTGTTTGTTTATTTGTTTTTGTGTTGCTTACTTGACTCAGTTCGATATTATGTCATTGGTTTTATTACATAGCATTATCATGCCTCTCATGGCTTAAATCTGAATTATCATGCCTCTCATCACTGGCGGATCCATTAAGGGGCAAGGGGGGTCAGCTGGCCTCCCGAATTTCGATGAACGTCCATAGATACCTTAAATGTTGACCCTCCGAACTTCGGTGAATGTCCATGGATACCTTGAGTGTTGCCCTTTTGAAGATTAGAGTTGGCTTCATACTTCCCTCCAACCGACTTCAGGCCTACCAAAACTCGATGAATGTCCATGAATACTTTGGATGCTGCCCCTTGCATACATTAACATGTCTGTAGTATGCATTTTCAAATGATTTAAGGCCTACCAAGACTCGATGAAATGGCGATATGCATACTATTTTTGGTATAAAAAAATTTGCGTGCATAGAGCGCTATTCTTACTGACCCCCCCTAATATTATTTCTTGGATCTGCCACTGCCTCTCATGGCTTGAATCGTGCTAGATTTACAGTTTTTTTTTACTTTCTTATACTTCACCTAGTCATGTTATTTGGCCTCTGGCCAATGCATTTCATTTCGAGAATAGTATTCCTGTTTTAGCAATGACGTAATTAAAACCAATCTTCCTTCATTTCACTCTTTTTATTTACATTTTTTTTTAACAAACGATATTATCTACACTAAAAATGAGAGAGTTAGTTTTAGCCTCACAATGGGGTAGCAATAATGTGGTTCAAATTCGCTTTTCGGGAAAATCGAACCTACCATCTCTCACTTACAAATGAAGAAAAATACCACTAGACTGTAATACTAAATGGCTCTTTATTTACATTTTAGGCAAGCATATCACACATTTAGTTCTAAGTCCTCTAGTCTTCGAGGAATAAAAACAAAACTAATCCAACCAACGTCCCATTCACTACTCACTTGTTTCGTTTAGTTAAGAGGTTAAATATAGCTAGACTGAATCTATTTGCAAGTTCCCTACGAATGATTACATTAAGTATCAATAAGGGTGATTCAAAAATGTAAATTGACTGATAACCCGGCAGCACGGGACGAAGCATCATTTCAGATAGAAGAAACTGTTTATTACCTTGCATTGTTTTCCTGTAAGTGCATTATCAACTAGAGATGGTTTATCGGAGCTTAAAAAAGTAGTATTAGCATTTAAACACACACATTATTTAGATACACAAATACAGCTTAGTCTTCGGTATGAGAAGATAGTGAATTCGTTTACCTTTTTTGTATGCGTTGTGGGGGGTGGACTGACTGTTGGTCACTTTAAACGTGCGGTATATGGCAGTTCCGTCTCTGCAGTTTACAATCGCTGCAACTGCTGTGGAGAGTTTCATCTCTGCAGTTTGCAACCGCTGCATCTGCTGTTGGAGAAATTTTTCATTGTGATGGGAACACAAGTGGTACACCACGTATTTTAATAGAAGTGATGGAAAATTTTATTTTTTAAGTTATTAAATTTTTAGCACACATATCCCACTATTTGTATAATGACACGTGGTGTACCACCCCGTGTACCAGTCACACTGAAAAATCTCACCTGTTGTTGGGAGTTCATGGCTTCGTGCCCATATGGAGTATTATATTTCTTTTCTTTATTTATTTATTTACTTCTTGTTTTCTATACAATGGAAAGATAGAATGTGATGATGTAGTTATAAGCTGATTAATTTAAGGGATGACAATAAATTTAAAGTGCGTGTGTTTTCATCTAGTGGTTCATAATTGTCTTTCTTGTGATGGGTGAATGTAGCAGTAGATAATTATGTTTTTGATATTTTGTTTTTCAACTTGTAAATAATTTATTAATTGTATCATATTTACGAATTTGACCCTATTTCTATGGGCAGTTATCTGGTTGCTTTATGTATGACCTGAGGGCTTTCTTGGCATTTTTGAATGTTTCACCAAACTGGCCTTCTCCCTTTAGAGTAACTCCATTGTTGCTAAGGCCCCTCAAGGCTATTCACTATTTAATCCACTCAATGAACAATGACTGCCCTAAATGAACAGTAACTGCCTTTTGCATCTCCACCCCTACACTGAATAGCTCTGGCAATAGGCAATAAAATATTAGTATTTTTTTATTTATAAAATAATACAAAATAATTTTATTTGTAATTTCGAATAAGATTTTTAATCGTTCTCGTTGAGTCACGTGTCATTATCCGAAAAGACAATTATTAGCGATGGATATCAATAAGATTTTTATCCAATGTCGTCGTGCCACGTGTCGTTACCTTTTCAGAATCGTTGATGATAGATTTCCGATAAGATTTTTAACCAATCACGTCGCACCATGTGTCACAATCTATTTACAATCTTTAAGGATAGATTTCAATCAGATTTTTAACGAATGGCGGCATGCCACGTGGCATTATCTACAACCTAATCCTTTATGAATCCTCCATATAATCCACCATCCATCCTCAGAAATCTCACACCAATTTTCTCAAGATCTCTATCATTATTCATAGTTTTTGCTTCCTTCTTCACCAAAATCAAAATCTATATTATTATTCATAATTTCTACTTCCTTCTTACAATGTCTTCTTCTTCAAGGACGATGTGGGAAATCGATCATTAAGAGGAAGAATTGTTTAACTAATAAGAAGGAATGTTCAATCTCCAGGTGGCATAAAATGAGATGGAAGAGGATGAGGAGCATAGAAGGAAAGATGATGAAGCAAGAATGGAAAGAGCCTTACATTCTCATTGAGTCATCCAAGCTGTGGCTCAAATCTGCAGGCCCAGCCGTTTTGCAAACCTTGATAGAAGCAGGCAACAAAGAGGTACGGATCTCTTGGACGATTATTTTGTCTGTAACAATGCATTCCTTGATACATACTTTAGACGTCATTTTAGAATGGAATGACATTTGTTCAACAAAATCTTGATTGATGTTTGCAACCATGATTCTTACTTTGTGCAAAAGAATGATGCTTTTGGTGTTATGGGTCTCATTCCTGAGCAAAAAATTAATACTGCCTTGCGGATGCTTGCATATGGAGCATCTGCAGACCAAGTGGATGAGATAGCGAGGATGGGGAAATCAACCATTCTTGAAGCCCTAATGAGGTTTTGCGGAGCAATCGAATCTATCTACACTGCAGAGTACCTTCGAATACCTATTGAGATTGACTTGTAAAGGCTTCTGAAGAAGGGCGAGATGCGAGGTTTTCCTGGGATGATTCGAAGCATCGACTATATGCACTAGACTTGGAAAAATTGTCCAAGTGCATGGCAAGGTGCTTATAGGGACAGAAAATGATCAAAAAGTATCATTTTGAAGGCAGTGGCATCTTTTGATACATGGCACGCCTTTTTTGGGGTTCCGGAAGCTCAAAATGACCTCAATGTCCATACCCAAGCCCCAGTGTTCAACGATGTCCTACAAGTTAATGCATCAAAAGTCACGTACTGGGTCAACGGACATAAGTACGACGAGCCATACTACCTAGCAGACGGCATTTACCCAAGGTGATCATCATTTGTCAAAACAGTGTCACGTCCGCGAAGTGCAAAGGAAAAACACTTTGCAAATTGTCAAGAGGGGTGCAGGAAAGATGTGGAGTGTTGTTTTGGTATCCTTCGAGCTTGCTAGGAGATTATTAAAGGTGCTACCAGAATGTTTGATTTAGAGTCGCTTCGATCTATCATGATGATGTGCATCATTCTTCACAACATGATTGTGGAAGATGAGTACGATTATGATGCCATTGATGAATATGAGCCAGACATGATGAACAATTCCAGAACATAAATATATTATGCTCATAATGCCACTAAAGAACCCGTGCAACATGAGCCATTAGAAAGGGATGGACGTTACAATGAAATGCTCATTCAACGATATATTGCACTTCAAAGGCCATATATGCATAATGCCCGACAAATTGACTTTATAAAGCACCAATGAGAATTGAAACAAGCTGAAGATATTTAAGTTCATTTAGTGTGTTTGTTTTTATTTGGTGTGTTTATTTAATTTTATTTGGTATGTTTTTTAAGTTCATTTAGTGAGTTTTTTATTATTTGGTATGTTTATGTAATTTTATTTGGTGTGTTTATATCCTTTGAATAAAGATTGTCTTAGTTTAAATAAAATATCAAATTAAATAAATATACTCTTAGTTTAAATAAAGTACTATATTCAATAAATAAGAAATTACAACCCAAAGTGATTGAAAAATTATGGGCTCCGATTATAAACAAAGTGATGGGAAAATTATGGGCTCGTGAATGGAAAATCATCACCTAACCAATTTGTGATGCTAGGATCATCTTCTTTTGTGGTGCTAGGACCATCTCCTCTAGTTCTCGCTTCTCTTGCACGCCTCCTTCGCACCACATCCGCTTTCTCTGAATTCCAAAAATATTTAGAATTCGGAGACTTCCCTTCTAAATTCGTGTTCATAATGTCACGATCTCGTTAAGCCCTTCTTTCTTCTCTAATCTCTTCCCTTTCTTGCCTAAGTAACTCTCTTTCTCTCTCATTAGCTTAAAATACTCTCTCAACAGCTATAGCTTTTGCCTCCTCTCTAGCCTTATCAACCTCAAATTTAGCCATTTCCCGTGCCAAAGTCAATTCACCATAGCGAGCAAGTTCTTTCATATACTTTGTATAATCATTCTTGGAAACACTCCCTTTTCTTTTTGAAGCCTTCTTACCTTGAGACCTAATGGGATAACAGGTCGACTACGACGCTTGTTCAGGGGGTAGAGTTTCCAGCACTTGTTCTGCGTCATCTTCATGAACATGCTAGGAATGATCGGGCATAGAGTGTAGAGGGGTGTTGTTCATGACAACTTATGGACTGACAGGCACAACTCTAAATTTAGGACAATCTTTGATAATATTCCAACATTCCCACCGGGTGAATGATTGCTTTTGGTTTTTGGATTTGGCATTATACCAAGATTGTGCTTGAAGTGTCTATATAATGCGGGAGAAGAAATAATTATAATCAAAGTAGCTCATGTAAATTTGGGTATAGTACAAACAAATAAATAATATATTGTTACCTAATCCACTAAATTTTCCCCACTTCGAAGATTACTACTAGTTTGTGCCAAGGCGTCTCTCCCCACATACTAAACAATTGGCCAAGTATTTTCCAACGACTGGACATTGATTCTTGATTCTTTTCCCACCAATTTTCTCAAGATAATTGGTATGAATAAGACTCCACACTTCTTGCAACTGCATCTCATTACCCGTAATCGATTCATGAGTAACTTCAACCCAGTTAGTACACAACGCAACATCTTCAATAAGTGTCCAATTCGTAGCTGCATCATTAGTCATTTTGTTGGAAAAAAAAAATTGGATTGAAATTTTGAGAGAAAGATAGGAATGTGGTTGAAAGTAGTTGAGAAAATATGAAATTGTGGTGTAAGATAGAAGATAATGAGAAGGTATTTATAGAAAAGTAAAATTTTTTTTTTTTTAATTTTTCAATTTTTTTTCGAATTTTTATTAATTTTTTACATTTTTAAAATTTTTTATTCATATAATTAATCTCTGATGTTGGATTAAAAAAAAATTTGAATTCCAACACTCCAGATTGTACCACGTGGCACAACGATAAGATTTTCATAATTTTAAACTGTTTTTTCTTTTCTTTTTTTAATTTATAAAGACGAATAACGTGGACCGTTGATCTTAATTCCAACGGCTGCAATTAAATAAGGTTTCAAATATTTTTTTACCGTTGGAAATCAAACGGTTCATAAAATGTTGCCATTGAAATCCAACAGACGTGAGGAAGCCACATGGCCTCCCCAACAGTAACATTTTCATAAATGATCCACGGGCCCCATTTCTGAAATCGTATCGGACTACGCGCACCAACGCGTGCCTGATGCAAAACAGACAGAAATCGTGGCTAACGTCGCCTGATGTCAACCTTGACATCGGGCTCTCGGGCCAGCTACTCTCGCCAGGCCTCTCCCTCGGGCCCCCCCAAGCTCAATATCCCGGATGGGCTGGACGTAGTTGCTCAGGCTATTGCCCTTTGTTTTGGGGCATGTCGCTGGGGCTACTCCACACAGCGGAGTTGCTCTTATATATATAGAATATCAATTATCTGAAAAACAAGTAAACCTGCAGTTATTGAGATTAAAAGACAACAAAAACAAATGAAAGGGCAGAAACCTTGAAGACAAACTAGGAGTCCGAGACGAGCTTGAACTCCTGCACTTGCTTGAAGTTCTCCCATGGCTTTACCCACACCTTGGCTTCATAAACATTCGTCTTTCCGCCATCGGTGGCCTCAATTTTCAGATAGTGCAGAGAGCCTGAAACCACTTGTACCTTTTCATGCACTACCCTCACAAACTCCAGCAAAGCATTCTGCACAATATTCAACAAATCAATCAATAACTAATTAGGACTCTATCCTAGGAAGAACTAATGCCCAAAAGTGCTTCTATTAATATTTGCTTTCATTACAAAGCCATCGAATTTTCTTTAAAAATCCGGGCGTTTACTAGAAAAGCACTTCATGAAGAAGCATCCGGCATGTGCTTCTAGAAAGTGCTTCTATGACTCAGTGGCTATTCAATTAATCAATCAATTTCCTTATTCAACTTCATTAACAATCCAAGAAAAAGCACTTGATGAAGAAGCATATGGAAGGTGCTTCTCTAGAAAGTGCTTCTACGATGATGCGAAGAAAAAGGGTATGGAAGTCCTCCTTCTTGTTGTGTTCATCGACGGCGAAGCGAGCGAGGCTTTCGGTCTTGACCATGTTGGTGAAACCTTCGTTATTGCGAACTGTACCAACTGCGGCCATATTTGATTCTGCGGCGAGCTCTCTATGTACTTTGACTTTTATATTTTTTCCTGTAGAAGAAGAAAAGGACTTTTGTGGCTGACACACCATGGCCGCAGCCATGGCTGCCACATATTGTGTGTTGCACCATGCTTTATCTTCTTCATCAGAATCCTCATCTTCTCGTCACATTTGTGCTCATTTTTCTTCCAATTCGGAATTGGATGAGGATCCCTAGTTGGAATTCGAAGAGGATCCAAAGTTGAAATTCATTGTAAACTTGAATTGAAAGAGATTGATATCCATTTTGTTCGTGACAGGGTTGCCCAACAGTTACTTCAAATGCAGTTTGTTTCCTCTAATGAGCAATTTGCTGATATTCTGACAAAGGGCCTATCTGCACCACTTTTTCGTGCTCATTGCTGCAATCTCAGGCTTCGTGGTCCTTCTCCTGAGCTTGAGGGAGGATGTTAACAGTATAGATAATAGATGGTTAGATACATTGACATGTGTCAAGAGATGTGGTTGTATAATATCAGTATGGTTGTTATAAGTAGGATAAGGTGTCTTAGTGAAGAAGTAATATAGATAACTATATAACAATTGTAAGTAGAGTAATTCAGTAACTTTGCAGTACAGAAATATAATTCATTTCTCTCTCTCTCTCTCTCTATCTTTCTATCTCTAAAACCTCTTCATCTTCTCTGTGATATTACATTACTGCAACTTAATATGTTGCTTAACATGAAGGTGTGTGAATTATAGTCCACTATCCACCCTATTTATAGCAAAAAAAAAAAAACAATTCAAATCCAACTGCTAGCTGACATCAGCTAGCCGTTGGATTTCAATTTAAATTTTTTTTCGGCCAATTTTTTTTTTTAATATTAAAAGTTTCTTATTTTTTCCTATAAATTTAAGTTGTTATAGTTTTTAAATTTAATTTGTAGTTTTTAAATATAAGTTTTAGTTTTTAAATTTAAATAATAAATTATGTTTGGTCCTATAGCTCTTTGGCCCTTGGTTGGAGATGATTTTTTTGTGACATGGCTAAAACTAGCTCTATGGCCCTTTGGCCCTCGGTTGGAGATAGTAAGAAATATGATATTGCACTGTTCATTAAAATATTAATTTCTTGGAGGACTAGAAAACTAAAACGAGTCATTTGTCCATCATTCGGTTGAAGATAGCCTTAATACACTCTCTTTGGAAGGATCCTCTGATAACTTGACACGTGTTGGAGTTTCATTTTGTTTGCTTAGTCTGTAAACTTTGTTTTCTTCTTGTTTGTTTATTTGTTTTTGCGTTGCTTACTTGACTCAGTTCGATATTATGTCATTGGTTTTATTACATAGCATTATCATGCCACTCATGGCTTAAATCTAAATTATCATGCCTCTCATGGCTTGAATCGTGCTAGATTTACAGTTTTCTTTACATTCTTATACTTCACCTAGTCATGTTATTTGGCCAATGCATTTCTTTTCGAGATTAGTGTTCCTGTTTTAGCAATGACGCGATTAAAACCAATCTTCCTTCATTTCACCCTTTTTATTTACATCTTTTTTTAACAAACGATATTACTTACACTAAAAATGAGAGAGTTAGCTTTAACCTCACAATAAGATGAGAATAATGTGGTTCAAATTCGCCCTTCGCAAAAATCGAACCTACCGTCTCTCACTTACAAGTGAAGAGAAATATCATTAAACTGTAATATTAAATACTAAATGGCTCTTTATTTATATTTTAGGCAAGCATATCACACATTTAGTTCTAAGTCCTCGAGTCTTCGAGGAATAAAAACAAAACTAATGGAACCAGCGTCCCATTCACTACACTTGTTTCGTTTAGTTAAGAGGTTAAATATAGCTAGACTGGATCTATTTGCCAGTTCCCTACGAATGATTACATTAAGTATCAATAAGGGTGGTTGAAAAATGTAAATTGACCGATAGCCCGGCAGCGCGGGACGAAGCATCATTTCAAATAGAAGAAACTGTTCATTACCTTGCATTGTTTTCCTGTTAAGTGCATTCTCAACTAGAGATGGTTTATCGGAGCTTAAAAAAGTAGTGTTAGCATTAAACACACACATTATTTAGATACACAAATACAGCTTAGTCTTCGGTATCGGGACATACAAGGTGTACTAAAAGCAAGCAAAGCATGTGAACACGCATTCAGTTAGTTTACTTGGATTTAGGAGTGATCTGCCTCCATCTGATTCAGACTGAAGGTGCCTTCCATATTCTTATGCACTTCGGCTTTAAACTTCTCTTCTTTGCTTCCCCTCTTCACCTTCAGAAGCATGTTAAACTTTGCATGCTCTTCTGCCACCTGCTCCCCATAGTTTACACATACAATTCAGTATTAATCCCACCGAGCTCAACGATGAAGTCTATAGAAAGCATTCACATTTAACCGAGTCTATTATTTTTGAAGTACAACACGGCAAGACCTCAAAACAGAAAAGAGCGAAAGAATTGACGTGTGTACTGAATGCAAAATTGACAAGGGAACAATGTGTTTTAATCTTCTGAATTGCCTAAAGGCTAATCCAAACCTCCTATCCCAACAACAACAAAAAACACTTATCCCACAAAATGGGGTCGACTAAATGAATCCTAAAACGCCACTGCACCTGGTTTTGCTTTGCGCCAGGCGTTCCGTTAGCTCCCAGGACTTTGTGACTTCTCTTAAGAGTCTTTTTCCAAGCCTTCCTAGGTCATCTTCTACCACTTTTGCCTTGAGATCGCATCTTCTAATACATTTAATGGTTTTCTTCGTACTCAATTCGACACATCCAAATATTGGACCCATTACACACTACTCAAAGTGCATTTAAATGAACTTGAACCCCATTCCAACACAACCAAACACTATCCCCCAATCCCCAGTTCTCCAAATTGCAATGAAATTGATTTTCATACTCGATCTCAACACGAAATAATACAATTCTCCAAACTGCAATTAATCGCCAATCTAGCACAACCAAACACTAACCCCAATACCCAATTCTCCGAAATCCAATTCGAAAAATTTTAGCATGCAATTCAACACAATAAGAAACTACCCACAATACCCGATTCTTCCAATTGCATTTAGGTAGATTTTAATACCCAATTCAAAACAAATACTAACACCCAATACTGAAGTGGAAAATGAAAGGGCACAAACCTCAGCCTGAGCGTGAACAACTTCTTGAAGCTCATAAGGCAACAAGGAATTAGACCTCTGCTGGAGGGACTTAACAGCATGGTTAGCCGCATCCTGCACCTGCGGGTCATGCGGCGGCACAGATTGCCACCCAGGAGGATGACCGCCTTGCTTGACGCCAAGATCGGAAGAGGTAACCGACGGCGTTTCCTCCTCATCAGCGTGCTTGAACTCCTGCACTTCCTTGAAGCCCATCCAAGGCTTCACCCACACCTTTGCTTGGTACAGCTTCTTCTTGCCGGCCTCGATCGCCTCGATCGTCAGATGGTGCAGAGTTCCGGCAACCACCTGCTCTTTCGCCTTCACAACCCTCACAAATTCGAGCAGAGCATTCTGCACAATTATAATTTAATTAACCAAATCGTTAAATTTATCGAAATTGTTGCATAACTAGATAAAGAAAAAAGGGAAGGAGGGTAAACTGAGTACCTCCTTCTTGTTGTGTTCTTGGACTGCGAAGCGAGCGAGGTCTTCAACTTCGGCGCTGTTTTGGGCGCCGTGGGACTCGTGGATTCCGCCGAGTGTGGCCATGTTGCGGTGGGAGGTGTGGCCGCAGCCGATTGGGGTTGATGATTCTTCGGCGGCGGATGAGAATGCGGGGAGGAGGAGGACGAAGAAGGAAGCAATTAATAGAGAAAAATATTCCGATTTCATCTGCGTTTTTTGGGTTTGGGGTTTTTTCGAGGCCCTGCAGATTGGAATTTATTGCTTTCGGTGATCGGGATTTTTGTGATACGTGTCATACACCTGTCGATTCCAGCAATAACTTTGCTTAGTCGGTAAGCAACCCCAACTCATGCAGTTTTGGACACAGAACCGGACCCGACTTCTCTACCCTTCCACTTTCCGTACATTTTTATCTCTTCTTATTTTATGCGATCATACAATCACATCAAAATTTTATATTAATGTTTTTTATAGAGATAATAAGGTAAAAAACAATAGTAATATAAAATGTTGACGTGGCTTAATCATGACCGTACAAATAAAAGGGAATGTGCGTGTATGGGAACTAGGAGAGAAACCAGGTCCAACAGAACCAGATTTCTATCGGGCATTTCACCAAACAGACAAAGATCTTGTTCGGGTTATCTTTGTCGGAATCCGGAAGATCAATCAATCGCGTTCTTTATCGTACATCGTATAATTATAAATTATTTTAAATTTTAAATTTTAAATCAAATATAAATATTAACTAACGAAAAATGATCGCATAATATACAATAAACAGACAAGATTGATTAATCCCATAAATAGAATCTGGAGAGAATCATTGTCCTCACCAAACACCTGGTGGGCACTTTGCAAAGGGGAAGTGACTTTGTTGGGAACGGATGCTTGGAGGAGGGTGCAAGAAAGACAGATGGGTCTGACCGTACCTGTCCAAAACTTATGACATGACGAGCGAGTGAGAATTGTTCTGTACAAGACAGACTGTTTTGATGATAGTATTTGTGGGCAAAGAGGGTGAGCCATGCAGCGTCTAGGAGCTAAGGCCATCTTCAAACATAGCTCGCTCAGCAATTTTATACTTTAAATTATTGATTAATTTAATTAAATTAAAATTGAATATTTTCAAATTTAAGCGTTGAATTGAAATAATATTGCAATTGAAGTGTTGAATCTTAAAAATAGACTAATACACGAGTTACATTTAGCTAGCTTGATACCTTTCGGCTAAATATGAGGTTTTTAACAGATCAAGCTATTTTTTTTACTTTTAAACCTTTAAACCCTGCCATTAGAGATGACCTTAAAAATTCAAGAGTTGGGAAATCGTTTTCAGCTTTGGAGGGAATTTAACGGGTGAATCCATGTCGCTTAAACCGCAATGGATACCTGCATTGATGTACAGTAGAACGAACGCTTGCGAACTATTTGTGTGAACCCAAGACAATACAATTTCTACTTTGGAGGAGAGAGATGAAATTTAGCACCAAATTGTATGCGACTTCTCCGATGATCGGAATATGAAAAATTGGTACCTTTCGTCATGGAGGCGAGTCCAGGGAAGGAGGACGCACTCACAAACAACGCTAAAGCCGGGAACATAGCAACGGAAATGGAAGAATAACCGGCGAACAGTGACCCGGGATACCATATAATGCAGGGGAAGGCCATTTGTACCTATAAAACTTCTATTGAACAGTACAACATACATGTATACAATTTACTGGGATTCTCTCCCAGCTACTTGAAAACACAACTTGAACTCCCTTTTTAGGCCTTTCGGTTTCGGGAGAGAAAAAAGTTCAACATATAAGATGAAGCTGCAGATCCAACGACGGGGGAAACGATAAGGCTCTGCTACAACGGTAGTCCCAGAGTACTTATAGAAAACATTTTAAAAACTGGCACGTCCATAAAACAAGCGCTTGTGCTATCATAAAGATGGAGGAAAAAAACACGAGCCACAAAACTTACTCGCGTAACATCCTCCGATTTAATAGCTAACGAGCGGAAAAGAGATCCCGTCATCAAAACCCGGGGTGGGGAAAAGTTAGACAGGAGAAGTCTTCCTATTAGTGACCTGGGAATGCAGAATCATGTGAAGAAGCAGCAAATATCCACAACAGACCTTCTGCTCCCTCGTTCTTTCAGCTGTCCCTTTTTACAAATACTATCTGTGAACTAGAAAGAAGCTGGAACGCAAAGTTGCTTGGTTTCGGGTTATCCTCGGCTTCTTGATGGAGCTTTATCTGTAATATATTAACAATTAAACAACATTAGACAAAATATATGGCAATGGCAAAAACTACGCAGTTGTTACTAAAGTATACATCTAAGACAAACATATAAACGAGATATGAACCCCAAAATGTTTACGTCGTGTGCACATCCTTGCAAAAATCTATGTATAGAGTGTGAAAAGTAGGTTAGTAAGAGAAAAAAAATTGAGAAATAGATGAAAAATGGTTTCACAAGCTAACATCAGAATTCCTTCTTTCGTCCACAATTCCTTCTCTTCTAGGACGAAAGTTGTTTCGCGTCCGGTTTAAGCATGCAAGTGCTTTTTGTTTGCCACGTAAGACACAACCTTATAATTTGTGCGGGAACCAATTGAAAACGATCTGACAATTCGGAATGATACTCAATACCAAAGAAACACCGATTATAAAACCCTCCGTCCCACATGGGCACATCAGTCCCATAAAACAGTATAGTGGTGAGGTCAATGTTCAGTATCAAGTTACTAATGAAAGTGCATGAAGGCAAGATACAAGAGATGAAAATTATTTTCTTGGAAAATCTTAAATGGTTGCTGACAAAAAAAAGGTATTCAACATCTCTGTTGACAGAAATATTCCAGGTCAAAAATTACGAAAAAATTAAGTAAAAACTCAATGTAAGAAAATCGGTAACTATGAGAAGAATATCACAATTTAAATTGAACTTATTAACATTTTTATTGAATAAATTATTTACTTTTAACCGAAAAATGTGATTCAAGCCCCCAAGAGCCCATCTGTGAGCTCACCTCTGTATCACAATTTTAAATATAGTTGTCATTGGACGTCGGGAATTCAAAACTAGTGTAAAGATACAGGGACTTAACACATTCAAATCTAAGTTCATTATCCCAAGTTTAACATTGAAAGTAAATTTCTTTCCGCAGCAAGTTTTAAAACAAAAATTGCTTATAAAGTAAGTTAAAGAGAAACAGACAGAGAGTTAAAAATAAACAGTACATACCTCATAGTGTTCAAGCAATGAAGCGAATAATGTTGCAACTCCTTCAATTACAAATTTCTGGCCAATGCAGGCACGAATGCCAGAGCCAAAGGACACGAACGCTGGATTTTTATCTGGATCATTCAAAACAAAGGAGCTCTCTCCAGTATGCACAATTTTTTCAGCAGGCCCTGAGAACAATTAAGAACCAAGTTTTGTCACACACACAGCATGTAAATCTTGATGTGTGATGCTATATTAAACAAATTTCTCTCTACGGCTATTAACATATTATACAGATTAAACTCCCCCATCATGCAGTTTAGGATCGTGAATGTGTCAATTCATATCCAAACTAACTCTAAATTCGCATGAAAAAAGCAGGTTCTAATTCTATACAGATTAAACTGCCTAGGGTTATTAAGGATGCTTATATCAAAAAAAATTCTCTCTACGGTTATTAACATATTGTACAGAGTAAACTCCCTATCATGCAGTTTAGGACAGTGAAGTGTCAATTCATATCCAAACTAACTTTAAATTCGCGTGAAAAAGCAGGTTCTATACAAGAATATTCATTGAATATAAAATCAGCGAGTTGTGTAACAAAATAGCATAAAAGATTGGAAAGGGTAAATGATGTAATAAGGTAAAAGCCATATATTGCTGCTGCATTCGCAAAGAAAATGGGAAAGGCAAAGTATGATTGGTTAATACTGGTATAACTGAAAATGTACTGAAGCGAACTTGAAAACTATATACACATCATGGGAATGGGTAGGAATGAAACCTGAGAATGATTTATTCAGCAATATATCAGATCCCTCTCTAGACTTCGCTAAAAAGCGATATGGATTAAAATCACCAGCATCACTTCCCCAGTTGTAATCATCCATCTGTACCAGCTGTACGGGTATAACCACCCCTGCTCCAGCAGGTATGGTTGCACCACCTTTAAGATTCAAGTCTTCAAAGAGAAAAGAAAGAAAATCAATTTAAACGCCTATTCTAGTAAAAAATGAAATCACAACCATCATGGAAGAGGGGAGAGGGGGTAAATGATGTTGAACTTAGCACCACAATTGTGTATGCTGCAACTAAAGATAAGTAAGAATCTCAAGGAGCATTATCTGAACGGAATTCACACACAACACACAAAAGCAGAGATGTAGAGTGAGTGATATCTCGATACAGAAAATTAAGCTTCTAAGAAACAGATTAGAAGTTTTACCATGTTTGAGAGAACATCTCTGTATCAAAGATCCAGGTGGCACAAGACGAGCAGATTCGTAAACAGTTGCCAGTAATAAAACCATCTTATGAATATCCAGTTGGCCTTCTTCCAATGAACTATTTCGTGCCATAGTTATCTCCGAGTAGATCTTTGGAAACATAAATAAAGAAATTTAGGACAATAACAAGTTAATGCTTGTGATGCACACAAAAGCACAATCATCAATATTATAAACAGCAACCAAAAGAGGTATTATAAGACTCAATCAGATCACACAAGTGCAATGTGTTTTGGATATCATTCCTTTCACGTCTCCTTATAATCACAAAAACCCAGTAGATTTTCTAACATGTTTACTTATAGGGGTCTCCAAAGTTACAACCAGACTAGCCATGAATTTCCCTGTGCCACTATGAAAGACAACTACCCTAGCTAAGTTATGATATATGTCAAGAATTCTGATTGCCTGCACAATGTCACAGATACGTGATGTCACATGGCATGGGTGATCAGCACCCTAATATCAATACATAGGTTAGTAGTGTTGGATAGGCTTTTCATAAAAATAAAGTAATCTATTCTCAGTTCTGCAGCCCAAGTGACCATTTAACAAAAAAGTACCATATAAATTGCCGGTTGTCCCACCACAACCTCTATATTTGACTCAGTTTGGACATGCCAATCAGTTTAATTTTCAAAACATTGGTCGATATATCATTGTGAGTTTTCATTCCTACAATTATAAGTAGTGATTGTCTTATATAGTCACTCAAACTGATACTGCTTAAGATGAATATGTAATAACACATGAAACCTATCGACCATCTAACGAATAGAATTGTAATAAGAATAATAAATTATCATTATAACTCAACAAATTATAATGAACTATCACTATTATTATCATTAGCGAGAGCAGTCTCTAATATGGGGAAGCTTTAATTTTTTCGGTGGGGGGTGTGTTGAGGGACTTCAAAAAAGGAGACAGAAAAATCATAAAATGAAGACATGAAGCACAATGAGCCAAGAAAGAGAACATAAAGAGGTGCCTTGTCAACTAGATCAAATGTCAGTTTTCACAGGATAATTTCATGCAGAAACATTAACTAGAAAGGACACAGACAGAGACGGACGGAGCAACGGAGAGAGAGGCAAAAAGAAGACAGAAGAGCAGATTACCTTATCTTGTATCTGTGGATGTGTAACAAGGCTCACCAAAATATTATTAATCAAACCAGCTGTGGTAAGGCATCCATGAAACATAATGCCCATAAGATTCCTACATGGTTCTTCTTCCCTAGGATTAAGATGGCCATTAAGTTCCGGAAAGATTAGGTCATTTACTATTACAACTTCAGAGCAAGATGGTCCATCAGATGCAAACTCCTTTCCCCAGTTTTCTGTTTCACTACGGTGACTATGATCCTGACCAAATAGCATGCAGTTTATTTTGCACTGTCGAATAATATCTTGCGTTAAGCATTTCAGCTTTGTGCACAGAGACTGGTACTTCCAAAATCCACGCTTCCAAACAGGAGTAACATTATAAGAAGCCCAAAGACGAGCATCCTTAGCTATCTTCATAAGGATCTCCTCATAGATAGTTGCGTTAGACCAAGCTAAAAATGCATCTCCAAAGAGTGTGGCTCCTAGCATGGTAAAAGCCATACGTTGAGAAACCATTTTACTGTCAACACTGGCTTTCGCCATAAAAGTTTGTATCCTCGCCAAGATAGAATCCACAGCCTTTCTACGAATCACATTTTCACTCTCAAGAATTTTTCCACTTAATTCTGTGAATAATGCTTCCCGTCTCTTTTGCACCTGCAAATGAGAATATCATTCAGGAAACAGCAATGAATGTTGCCAAATGAAATTGGGAATAATCACACAAGAAAAGTTGTGAAGTTTTTCATTCAGTCTTTGACAAAAGATCATACATGATAAACAAATATTGATAATAAATTTATGTTTGGAAGATATTAAACTTCTCGTTTGATTCCATATGTAACATGCATAGACCAATCAATGTTCAGGAATTGGGACTACATTAGGAAAAAAAAATCGTGCTTTCTACAAGGCAGTAACATATCTAATTTTAAAATCCTTTTAGTATGCTAGAGGAAGACTGATATTTTACAGTTAAACTGTAGGAGAACCAGCGGTTAGATCAACAAACTAATCGTTCTGTTACATCCATAAATTCGTTTATTTCTTTCTTTTCCTTCCCTTTGTCCTTTCCCAAGTGTTTCAAGTAAGACCAGCATATAAGCTGATGATAATTGATAAGGCAGTCATTTTACTGCTTTCTTTTCCTTCCCTTTAACATTCCGTCAATAAAATGCCACCGAGTAATAGCACCTACGTGCAGAAACAGAAACACAGGCTTTTTTCTCTTCTGGCATCAATGTTTTGCAATCTCAATGCAGACACAAAACACCGGTACAACATAGTAAGCTTCTAAGCATCACAAATACAAAAAGTAAAGAAAGCAGAGAAAGAGAAGCCATAAAATGGAGCTCATACCATCTCAAAAGAAGAAGCAAAGAGGCTCGACTTTCCAAAGGCCAAATGGAATGCCCTTCCAGTCAAAGGCAATTTATCAGCAGCCTTTAGTAGCATCTCTTTGATCAGAATTGGATCCTTTATTGACACTAATAGCTCAGTAGGACCCAACCATAACTTCACAACAGACCCGTATTTCTTGTGCAAACCCGATAGAACATCTGATCAACGCCAAACGAAAAGAGTAATCAGTTACATTGTTCACTCTATCATCCAAATCACAAATTCATAGTCACCAAAAAATAGATGTATTTTCTACTCCTCAACCTCTTCATGTTTGCGGGAACATAGGAAAACTCAACAAATCAACGAAATTTGTATCGATTCTCCTTCCTTCAACTTATATTCCTAGTGTTCAACATAAATTTCAAAATTTCAACTTATATACCTAGTGTCCTACATCAATTTCAATTTTGATGAAAACCCAGAAACCTTTTTTACACATATTACTACTGTTCTACTTCAATTTCAAAACTTTTTAGAAAACCCAAAAACCTTGTTTGCTTATGTTCCCGGAATTCCACTTCAATTTTATATTTTGATGAAAACACAGAAACCCTTTTTACACATATTACTACTGCTTTACTTCAATTTCAATACTTTTGAGAAAACCCAAAAACCTTGTTTGCTTATACTCCTGGAACCTAACTTCAATTTTGATGAAAGCACAGAAACAGGAACAATAAGCAAAACTTTCACTTCCATTAACATCCCAGCAACCAAACGCAGAAGTTGAGCCGAACCCAACAGCAAAGCTAATCTACTATACATAACCAGAAAAATTCCAATAACAAAAAAATGCATTACAGATAGAGACCGGTAAAATTTTCGCGGGAAAGGAGCTTGTGGTGGCCGTAGAAGGAAGGGCACGGCGGGCCGGGGATGGACCTGGCCTTGACCCACAAGCAGAGCAGCTTAAAAACCCTTGCGAGCAAGAGAGCGGTGACGGCGATGAGGGAAACCCAAAGGAAGGCATTGAATTCTCTGGCGGCCAAGTCTCTGAGAAGAACTCGGCAGCAACTTTCGTCGGAATCGCAAGCTCCGGATCTCGAGAAATGGAAGAGAAGTGTAAAGAGGGTGTTTGATCCGCAGGAGGAAGAAGAAGAAGAGGAGGTCATTTTCTCATAGCAGAAGAGAGGAAACCGGGCTGGATCAACAGAAATGGTGCGAACGTAATCGATACAAGTATAAAGTATCAAGAAATACAGGGTTGGAAGTTGGGGAGTTGGACTTTTGGAGTTGCCGATATGTCTGACCTTTTGCTTTCAGTGTGCGCGTGTCGTTTTGTTTGGTTGTTTGGTTGTTTGGAAGTGCGAATGGTGGTGCATGTGCCACGTTTGTGCAGGTGTATTTTTCTCTCATTTTTTAATGAGAAAATTGGGCATTTGAATTTGAACCAACGAATATGACTGACATGATTGTAGAGTTTTAATCTTGGAGACGAGACGTGATTGGTTTCAACTTTGCTTGTTTATTGATTTGCTCTATGTAAGACAGACAATTTTCTGCCTTCAAAATGAATTTGGCAGTCCTGTAATCTTAATTACGGTTTGATATATAATAAATATAAGCAAAATTAGGTTTTTATCCTTTATATATATATGACTGTAATTTTGTATTATATATTTTTATTTTTGATTTGTACCTATTTTAATTTGTAATTCTTTATTTAAATCGTACTAATTTTTTTTTCAATTTTAATTTATGCGCATATATTAAATTCTTTTTGTGTTCATATTTTTTAAATTTTTATTTGTGCTCATTTTTTAAACTTTTATTTGTACTCATTTTTTAACCTTTTATTTGTACCAATGAGTTATTAATAATGTACCCATTTGTCTTTAAAATGTACCACTTTGTGTATTGTAAAATGTACCAATTTTTGTTTTTGTAAGTGCCATTCTTTTATGTAAAATGTATCTGATTTTTAATGTAAAACCTTTTTATTTTAATCTGAAATGTATACATTGTTTATTTTTTATATATAATGTACCAATTTTTTCATATAAAACGTACCACCATTTTTGTATAAGATGTACCAACTTTTAGTATGTAAAATGTACCGTATAAAAATTACCAATTTTTTGTATGTAAAATGTCATTAATATAAGTAATGAAAAATCATGGGTTTTATTTCAATATAATTTATCTTAATGACAAATCATGTCATTAAGATGAATTCTACTTTTTTATATAAGTATAATTTATTTTAGGGAAAATTAGGTTCACATCCTTCTTTTTGTTACTTCATTGATTAAAATCCTATTCATTTTCAATTTTTTGATCAAGATCCTTGGGTATTAATAACATCATTAATTATTTGAATAATAAAATATTTTTAATTTTAAATATATTCATTTAGTGTTAAAAATGTTACAATTAGTATATTTATATTTATGGTTAAATGTTTTATCATATATTTTTATTTTTAGTTTGTACCTATTTTTAATTTGCAAATATTTTTTAATTTGTACCAATTTTCTTTTCATTTTTAATTTGTACCCATATATTAGTTTCTTCTTGCACCCAATTTTTTAAAGTTATATTTGTGTTTGTACCCATTTTATACCGTCACATGACATTGTATATTTAATCAATGATAGAAAAATTACATGGTATATTTATGTTTTATGCCTAAACTTTGTAACATATATTTATATTTTTAGTTTGTACCCACTTTTAATTTGCAACATTTTCAAAATTTGTAGTATTTTCTTTTTAGTTATACTTTTTAAAAATTCATTTGTACTCATAATTTTTTAATCTTTTATATGTACCCTAAAAATTCATTTGTAATATTTTCTTTTTAGTTTTATAATGTACCCATTCTTCTTTATTAATGTACCACTTTGTTATATGTGAAATGTACCTATTGTTTTGTAAAATGTACCAATTTTTTTAACACTATGGATACATTCTTTTGCCATTTATTATTTCTCATTTTTACATAGTTTTCATCCATTTATTAAATCAAAATGTTTGAATTTTTTTTTATTGTAACCGTTTCTAATAGTATTATAATGATGAATTTTAAATTTATAAGATTATAAATCTCATAAAATATCAAACAATTAATGTCAAAACTATAAAAATTTATATATTAATAGTAATAAAATGAGGTGTACAAAGCCAAGGAACTTTGATCAAACTTTGAATATTATTAAGGTTTTAATTAAAGAATGTTAAGGATTAAGGACGCATCCAAAGTATCCCTTTATTTTAATATTTTCAATTCCACACAAATCCTGTATTTTATTTAGAGGCCCATTAATATAAGTAACTGCAAATATCAAATTTTAATTTAAAATTATAATAACCTACATAGAAATGCATTATTATATTAATTTTATAGACTTCAATAAAAAATTAAAAATAAACAAGGTTTCAATCAAAGAACGTTGATAAATAGGGACCGTATCCAAAGTCACCCTTAAGTTTATGACAGTAAAGTTAATAAAAGGTAAGTTTATAAATACGTGTTAGTCAACAATTGAGCCACAAATAGGTCACACTCATTTTGGGTAAAAAAAAATTGATTTCGTTTTTAACCTCACTTTATCTTTAAAAACTGTCAAAATTAAGCGATTTGACCTCATTTATGTCCACACTAAAATAAATTTAACAATTTTAGAGTTGTAACTTGTAAGTCTGACAATTTCATACCTCGTTAATAATAATGACTCATCTCTACCAGTATGATATGAAATGCCTACACTACCTTTTCATTTAACGTCTATAGGTATAATTAACCAATAGAGCGAACTGACTCGATTTTTGATAGTTTCAAATGATAAAGTAAGAAATCTAGCTTCAGATGGTAAAAGATAGTTTCAGATGACAAATAAATAAATATACCCTTCAACTTTTGCAGTGTTAGTGCAATCCCAAATTGAGTTGTTTTCAATGGACGAAATTTTAAGTGACAAAACTTTAAGCAGCTTGTGTTGAAAAGAAAAAGTAGATTACCAACCGGGCCTTACTCTAAAAAGAATTATTTGACTTTAAGTTTTGCAAAATTAAATTAAAACTTAATCAAAACTTAAAACTTAATTACCAGCCGGGGCTAATCCACGGCCCAAAAAACCCTGCCGAGCCCAAGCTCATTTGGGCACAAAAAGGCCGATTTGGCGGTAGTACTCTTGGTCGAAAAAGCTCTTTCATTTTTCCTTCCATCCCAATTTTCCCAGGAAAAAACAGAGATAAAGGAAAAAAAAGTTCAGAAACAAAGAAGAGAGAGAAAGCACACTCACAGGAGAGATGATGACGTACGCAGCCACAGCTTCAAGGCCGCCGTGTTCTTCACAAACCCAAGTGCCCATTTCACCGATTGTGAGGGGCACTGCCCTCAACAGCAGCAGCAGCAGCTGCAGTGGTATTACCAGTTGCCGTCGGAGAAGCAGTGGCGTCTGTGTAATTAAGGCCATGAAAAGCTCGTCTCCCCCAAGACTAACCTTGTCGAGCAACTGGGATTTTCCGTCAGCTACTACTTCGGCTCCAAGGCTGCCCAGATTCGAAGAACTCGATACCACCAACATGCTTCTCCGTCAGAGAATCATCTTTCTGGGTTCTCAGGTTTTCCCTCTCTCTCTCTCTCTCAATTTTGGTTTTCTTGCATCAGTATCTAATTTTTCGACATGGGTTTTGCTGCTACTTGTGAAATTTGCACTCTTTACTGTTTTTTGAAAGTTAAAAGTTAAAAATTTGATGGGATTACTGTGTGTGTTTGTATTTCTTATTTACTAGAAGACTGAACTTGTATGTAAATTTGCACATTTTTCTGTTTGTTGAAACTTGAAAGTTAGGAGTTAGAAATTTTAGGGGATTACTGTGTGTTTGTTTGTGTTTACTAACTTATGAAGAGGAATTGTTGCTTTATTTAACTCTCTCTTCATTTTCCGCCCGTGGGCAGGTAGATGACATGACCGCGGATTTGATCATAAGCCAACTTCTATTTCTAGATGCTGAGGACCCCAAAAAGGACATTAAATTGTTTATCAATTCACCCGGTGGTTCTGTTACTGCTGGTATGGTTTAAATATATTCGGCATGTTTGATCCTGGCACCTCTCTTCTTTCATTGCTTTTGATTCTAATATATCCCTGGTATTGGAGATAACAAGACATACAAAAAACTACATATTGTTATTACATAAGTAGGTAAATCGATTTTCAATTGTCAATTGTAGCATAACTTGAAGCATTGGCATGCAAGTTAAGTAGTAAATGACAACAGCATATCATAACGCCAGGCTTTGGTAACAAAGCACAAAGGATTGCATGCATTTACTACCTTATTTTTGCAACATAATGGATGAGGAAATGTTAAAAGGAGAGCACTGGAAGAAAAACTGCCAAGACGTTGAATATCCCTAAGAAAAAGATTATTCAGGAAGTTGTGTCGATATACTTCTTGTGTTAACTTTTCAGAATGACCCTCTCAAACAATTTGAAAGGTTAATATGACACCTAAGATAAAGATTGTAGCTTGGGCAATTGCTCTTTGTCTGATGTGCAGAAATCATGCAGATGCTTAACTCTTTGCTACTCCATTCTCCAGTTGCTTATTCTTTGTGGATCAGGCTGATTTTAGTTGGGCAATTCTAGCCTCTTGTGATGCTCTGTTATAAGAAAATTAATGTTTCCCGGAGGTCTAAAAGGGTTTGGTGCTAGAGAGCGTGCTGTGTAAGGAAACTTTTTGGTGGTTTGGTTGGAGAGAAATAGAAATATTTGAAGGTGTAATGGGGAGGAGGTGGATCATTCAATTCCATGAGTTTCTGGATTGATCTTTTCGTTCTATTCTTTGGTTGTGGTGCTGTTATCTTGTAGTACAATGTTGGCAATTAATTTTTTGTGTTGGGTTTCTGTTTTAGATGTAAGTTAGATGTTTGCTCTTTTAGGTGATACCTTGTCCCATGTGTTGTATCTTATCTCTTTTATTTGATCAAAGCTGCTCTCCTCATAAAAAATTGAAGAGAAAAAAAAATGAAAGAGAGTTGAGAAGTAGAGATAGCTATCTGTGTCATTGTTGATAATCTTTAATGCCTATGGAATCACTAAACTTTCAGAATGCAGACATAAAGTAATTGCATTATGTTCCTTTGATTTTAGAGTTTTCTACAAGAAAAAGTGTTTAGATTTCTTTTTCCCATCCTACTTGAAAAAATATTTTGAGTTTTTTCCATACTAGAAAAGTGTTTCAACTGTTTTCTCCTAAGTTTTCTGCCATATATGGTGCCTTTGGAGTATAA